AGAAAGAAGTTGTGGAGCTCTATGGCACAAGGAGGTGAATATCCTTAGCACGGCTGAACTGTACACCTAAAACTGGTTCAGATGGCAAATTTTGTTATGTGTATTTTAGCAAGAATAAGAATTTTAAAAGATAGATCACAGCCCTTAAAGAGGAAAAGTGTAAATATTTGTTGACTCTCTCTTGCAGTAGAAGAATATGGTTATTCTGGGAGCAACTCAAAGGTCGGACCTCACAGGACGAGAATGTGGGGGCCACTCTTCCCCACTTCCCACTGGTTGTTAATGAAGCCGAAGTCTCCCCACTCTCTACTCCCTGCAATGTTCTCATCTCTGCTCTGAAGTGTGTTGTTGGCTGAGACAGTGAGCAGATGATCCATCTAAAATCACACAGTGTGGGGGGAGGAAACACTTTCAGGTCTGAAACGTGCATATGGAGCGGCCTTGAAGTGGGGTGCTGGCTGCGTCACTGAAGAAAAGCTGCTGGCAGGGAAGAAGATGACTCTCTCAGACAGAATCAGAAATTACAGCCCATTTTCCGTTGCACCATGATGTCATCTTATTTGTTAACAATTCCAGAAAAAATAATTCCACAAATGAATGCCCCTTGGGGAAACTATGGGAGCTGATGTTTTCTCTTACATTCGCCTAAACGACTCTCATTCAGAACACAGCTTCATTTTGATTCTATCCTGGCTCATAGGGGGCACTCAGTCGATGCTTCTTCAGTAAATGAATGAATGAAAGGTTGTGAGTAACTTCAGAGCACACCCCCTCAGTTAAATTCCTTATCTTTGTTACTGTGCCTATTCAGTTCCTACAGTAAGGATTCCAAGCATCAAACATCTCATGCTTGAATTCTCATAGCTTATCTCAGATATGAAAAATGTAATACGATGAGGATATTCTAATAAAGTCTATTAATCAACAGGACAGGACAGGTCAGGACAGCAGCAGAAAATAGAATGCAAACACAGTTCCTATGAGCTCAAGTCATCTGAAGCACACCGGAGTCAGCTGGGGCCAGACGCTGTGGGCAGGCCGGACTGGAACGAAGGGTATTTGAGAAACAGGGAACGGCTACCGCGTCACAGTCGTCTTACTATGCTGCTTTTTATAGGAGATCAGAGTAAAGACGTGTTGGAAATATCAACTCATTTTTTTTTTTACCCTCATTTTACAAAATCAAGTTTTCTGCATGTTTTTTTTCTTAGCCTTGTTAGGAAGCTGGATGCAACATAAGACACCAATCTTTCTCCAGGGTTTGCTGGAAGATGCTATGATAGCCCCAAGCAAAGGTGCTGTGCTAGATGGAGAGATGACCTCAAGGGAGTGTACGCCCCACCTCTGCGGAAGGCTCCCCAGTCCTTCCAACGTGACCTAGAAAAAGAGGCACTGAAGGTGATTGGGGCCTGGAGGTTGGTGCTAGAAATTCACCTAAACTTCTGCTCTCCCTCCCTGCCGGCTCCTAGGCCTGGGAAAGGCAGGGAGAGGAGGAAGGCAGCTGGCCATGTGCGTCTGGAAGCAGAACCTGTGGTGGTGGGGCAGGCTGGCAGGTATGGCCCCTCTGGGGAAGCCCCTTGGTGCTGTTCTAATTTGGCACCAGAGGCCCCCAATGGTAGGTTAGGCATGAAGGATAGGTCCTAAAGTGGCAAATCCAGCTTTGGGTCTTCCTCTCTCCCCACTGTGGAGGCCCCAGAAGCCTAACAGAGGTCAGCGGAACAGGCTCACTGCGCGGGAATCTAATGATTCCGTAGCACCAGTGCCCAGGAAGTCTTAAGGCAAGGGGGTTTACGATTTGGGATTTTACTTAGATTTCATTTCCAGGCCTCTGTGGAAAACAAAATCATTCTAAATTCTTATAAACAAAATTTTGAGCTGCAGCAATGACATGCAAACATTCTCATAGACAGTATTTACTTTAAAAAGAACGTTTTATGAAAACAATGCACTCCTATTCTCAATCAGCAAAACGATTTTTATGTATGATCGGAACTCTCATAAAAACAATTTTGGGCTGGGCGCGGTGGCTCAAGCCTGTAATCCCAGCACTTTGGGAGGCCGAGGCGGGTGGATCACGAGGTCAAGAGATCGAGACCATCCTGGTCAACATGGTGAAACCGTGTCTCTACTAAAAATACAAAAAAACATTAGCTGGGCATGGTGGCACATGCCCGTAATCCCAGCTACTCAGGAGGTTGAGGCAGGAGAATTGCCTGAACCCAGGAGGCGGAGGTTGCGGTGAGCCGAGATCGCGCCATTGCACTCCAGCCTGGGTAGCAAGAGTGAAATTCTGTCTCAAAAAAAAACAAAAAAACAAAAAAACAATTTTGGTTTGGTGTGGTTTTAGCGCATATAGCCTAAACTGTCCAACAGGCATCTGCCTCTCCTGCTTGCCGGTCTTGGGGCAGGGGGCTTCAGCACCTCCAGACAACCAACCAACGGAAAGCTGGAATCATCCCTGCCCAGGAGTATCAGCAAGAACGCCGACATAGCAGTGGCTCTCAACTGGGGGTGATCTGGCCTCTTTGGGGACTTGGGAGCATTTGGCAATATCTGGAGATATTTTTGGAGAGGAGGGATGTGGGGAGGGTGCCATTGGTATCTAGTGGTAGAGGCCAAATGCAGTTAAACATTGCATAAAACACAGGACGGCCCCTAACAATAAAAATTCTACAGTCCAAAATGTCAATATTGCAAGATTGAGAACCCCTGATTACGTAGGGCTTACTATGTGCTGATACTGTTCTAAGTATTTTATATATATCTATATGTAGATAGATATACACATATACACACACACATACACACATATATACATATATATATATATATATATATAATCATTTATTGAACCCAACACTTGAAGATAGATACTATTATCATCCCCAGTTTGCAGATGAAGAAACTGAGGCTCAGAGAAATTAAGTAACTTGCCCTAATCACACAGCTAGTGAGTGTTAAGCTAAAATTGGACCCAGGCCAGCTCCAGAGGCCACGCCATTCATTACACAACATGATGCAGCCTCCTGCCTGAGCTTGTCCTTTGTGCCCACATCCAAACAGCCACAGAGCCCCTCAGAGCCAATCTCTACATGCTTCTGCTCTGTCCCTGTCACCATGTCCTCTCAGGCCTGCCTCCTCTCCTCAAGGGACCATGGCAATACACTTCCTTCTTCCAGCTCCACGCCTTCTAGTTCACCTCCCTGGCGTTTGCTGCCATCAGAGTGACCTCAAAATCCCAGATCTGACCATGCCTCTACCTCTTGCTTGAAACCCTTCAACAGATTCCTGCCACCTGCAAGGTAAAGCCCAAACTTCAGGATGGTGTCTGAGCACTTGTTGGAATAATCACTTTGCAGGCCTTCTCCTGCTTCCCCGTTGTCTGTCTCGGCACCATCATGTGACATGCTGTGCTGTTACCACCTCTCAGGGCCTGCTCTGTCTGCGATTCCCACCCCCAATTCTCTTATCTGGCAAACACCTGCTGGCCCTTCAAGAATCAGTCCCAGTGTCTCCTCTTCCAGGAAGCCTTCCCAGAACACCTCAGTCCTCCAGGTAGAACTGACCACTCCCTTTTTTGTGTCTCCACCATCTGCTTTTATGCCTTTAATAAAATGCCTGTAATCCCAGCACTTTGGGAGGCCGAGGAAGGCAGATCACAAGGTCAGGAGATAGAGACCATCTTGGCCAACATGGTGAAACCCCGTCTCTACAAAAATACAAAAATTAGCTGGATGTGGTGGCACGTGTTTGTAATTCCAGCTACTCGGGAGGGAGGCTGAGACAGGAGAATTGCTTGAACCCAGGAGGCGGAGATTGCAATGAGCTGAGATCCAGTCACTGCACTCCAGCCTGGCAACAGAGCAAGACTTCATCTCAAAAAAAAAATAAAATAAAATGTATTACTATTTTTCTTTGCTTTCAAGTCCATTCCTCAAAGACAGGAGCATTGTGTTATTTCACATATCTCTGAAGTCTAGCCAAGTAACTGAGTAGTCACCCAGTAAGTATCAGAAGAATGAATAATAAAATATCCTCTATGGCTTGAATTCTTTGCAGGACGGTCACTATCTGCAAAGGAGATCTATGCTGTTAGACACTGCCATTCTTAGGCAGGGGGTGCAATGTAAGACACCCATCTTACATGAGGCAGAAGTCCGTTTCTGCATTGCCTCAACTCAAGGTCTGGTTCTATGCCCGGGACTACCTGGAGGTGCCTCTCACCACTAAGACAGGCGGCGCCTCCCTGTTAGGATCCTCATCACCAGGCTGAGCATCTCCAGCTGCCTCTCCTCTTCCCAACAGGCATAGTTTCAAGATCCCTCATGGCCCTAGAGTATGCATTGAATTACTAAGAAAACTCAAATTGCAGTGGGCCTTCAGAGAAGCTGGTGGCATCTGGGAAGTTTATGCAGGTTCCTGACATGATGCTTTAAGTGTACTTTAAATCAGAGGTCCCAAGTTCAAGCGCCTGTGGGCTCAGACGGGTCAGATCCATGAATGAAGTAAGCAGGCGGTGATGAAATAGACAGGAGGGGCTGTGGGTGACTATGTGCCTGGCCTCACCTCCACAATTGCTGCCACATAGGAGAATGGCCCCGTCTTGCCGATCTTTTTTTTTTTTTAAAAAAAAAAACAAAACTAGAAATTCGCATTTTCATACAAGTTTTTTAGATACACGTAACTAATTTTTTTTAACGCATACAGCAAGGTATTTTCCAAATCGACTGCATCTGGCTGCAGACTGTCCATTTGTGGCCTTGGCTTTAAATAAAGAATTGCTTGAGCGATTCCTAAGTTTTGCATTTAGTGTTGGAAGTGTGCACAGATATATCGAGAGTTGTGGACATACAAGGGCAGAATTTAAATTTGAAATTAAACTAGAACACTAGGGTTAAAAATAACTTTGAGGCATAAATCACCAAACAGGGTGAGTGAAACAGAGAAAAACAAGGAGCCGTTCTAACCAGGGCCCAAAGCCGAGGCAAAGACTCAATTACCGGTCAGCAAATCCATCTCCAGCAATGCCTGGAACAAGGTGGGGTGTTTGTCTTTCAGCTCTTTCTCCCAGGGGAAGGCTCTGCACATCGAGGGTCTCCCATACCTGCGCTTGAGGTCCAGGTAGGAGTTGTGGAGGTGGCCTAAACAGAAGAGGAAACACAAGATATCACACTGTTTAGCAGAAGGAAAGGCTCGCTTCCCTAAAGCCCTTCTTCCTAAGAGGAACTAAAAAGAAGAGGCCAGACTCACCGTTACTAGATGGTGGTTTGGGCCCTTTTGGGATTTGAAATTGGCTATGATGCTTTTGCCTCCAGGTCACAAATTCAGAGCCAAGTCCAGGAGCAATGTGCCAAAGTTACTGATGGTTGTTGACTAATTCTACAGAATGAGCAGCTGGCCTCTGACTGGTCCCCAAGAGGCCAATATCTAGGTCATTTTCTTGGCACGTGAGTTGAGGAGCAAAGCACAAAGACCCCCAGGGAGGCGAGGCAGTAGAAGATGATAGGAAAATCTTCCTAATGCCACCAAACAGATGGGTGTCCATGCCTGGCCTTCCAACTCGGGGTATCTCTCCTGACAGTACATCCGTTACCAAAGGCAGTTTCTTTCCTCTTTGGGTTATTACTATTCCTATATATCTTCCCCCTCCTCTGACAACATCATATTTTCTGGATGATTCAGCAGTGAGAATGGCAGCTGGGGACCAGTATAGCCTATTCTTAAATTGAATTGCAGCAGCGCTGTCTCTCCACACTCACCTGTCACCATCTCTAATCACTACCTGGGACCATTTCATGTGAACCCTATTAGACCAGGGCATGTTTGAGATGCATCCCTCCCTCCATAACCTGGAGTGAGAAATTCCGCTCTGGAGATGGAGACATATGGGCAGGACTGAAATACTCAACTCGCTTTTGCTGATGGCAAAGGCCCCACAGGAATTTCTCTTCCAGAAGGAACATATGTGAGAAACTCTAGTGCCACCATATCAAACAGCAGGATCCATTGCACAGAGAAATGTGTAAGTGCTAGATCCAAGCTGGAACGCCGGAGGGCCAGACAGGACCAAGTTTTGTCACTGATAAACACCCTGTGTGAGTCAAAGGATGTCTGTGCAAATATGAGCACGCACGACAGCAGTCTATTTGAAATTCATTCCTTCTGTTGAAAATTACCGATGTCTTCAAGAATGAGTCAATTTCAAGGATTTAAAAAATAAAATCGAGCTCCAAACAACAAAGTCACCGTTCAACATTTCCGAAAGCTAATATTCAGATATTAATGGCCCAAAACAAAAGTGCACCGATGGGGAAACATTTCTAATGATTAATTTATTTTCCAATCCATTTTTATTTTCTTAGGCTGGTCTTACGGATGGGAAGAACGCCATGCGAGGCACAAAACACTTGCTGTCATTTGTACTTGTAAGCTCGATTTTCATGGTTGGAACTATAAGATGTTTTGGTTTTTCTGGGCTATTGTTGGTCTTGGTAGCATCCAGGTGGAATGCACAATTTCACCTGTGTCCACCAGTGGAGGGCTCGAGGTCACACTTGTCCCCACTGGTATCTGAGCCAAGTCATATATGTTCAATTCTGATCCCATTACGGAGAAGCCAAATGTGTTAATGCAAATGCACAGAGCTTAAAACAGCTCCCCTGAACTCAACACTTACATGCTTCTTGTCTCTCGCCCCCGTGCTGTGCTGCGGATGCATACACAGAGACTATTTCTTGAACCTCAGCACACCTTTCATAATATAACTTGATTCGTTCAGCAAGTTGCTTCTCAAGAAGGGGATTAACAACCTACAAAAAGGGAAGAAAGTCAAATGAACAACAGTGGTCATGAAATATCCACCCACCTCTAGGAAGTTGCGTTCGGGTTGATTTTGCTCTCCCATTGACATCTACAGGTGGCTTTTTTGTACACATATCATCCATCCTGGATTTGCAAAGCAAAGTCACTGGTATGAATTCAAGGACATGCCAGCTCTGATGCTTCCCGCTAGCTTCTCTTTGTGCTCAGCTTCTTAAATGTCAGAATTTCCCAGAGACTGGGACTCTGCCCCTTCTTTTCTCTGGCTGCATGCTATTGCTAGAAAATCACACTCGCCTCCCCCTTCAATTCCCACGGAAAGATGCAAGAGTACCCGAAATGTGCCTGCTGCATTAAAGAGCCCTCCTCCCCTCTTCTGCAATCTCCAAGAGATGGGTGCAAAACCATGGCTTCAGGAGAGGCCCCCCAGCGGCTCACCCCAACTCAGTTGCAGGCCGATGTACCCCTTCCTGCCTCAGCATTCCCAAACACATCTGAATTAAAGCATGTATCATATTCTTTCACAAATTCCCTGTTTAAGATCCTGAAAGGGAGCTCCTCAGGAACAAGGGACTTAACTCAGTGTGCTTCAAAATATAGGCTGGGACCCATTAGAGGGTCACACAGTTATTTTGGCGGTGGTAACCTACAGCATTTTGGTGGTGTTTTTTTGTTTTTATAAAGTAGAACACAAAATATCAGCGTGCACTGAATATAGCAAGGGTATGTATTCTTAGAATAATTTTGTTTCCATTTCGTGTGTGAATATATGTATGTATATGTATGTACTGTTCATGATATTAAGCACATTTCTTGCTTTTTTTTTTTGAGACAGAGCCTTGCTCTTGTCACCCAGGCTGGAGTGGAGTGGCACAATTTTGGCTCACTGCAACCTCCACCTCCTGGGTTCAAGTGAGCCCGTCCGGCAAATTTTTGTATTTTTAGTGGAGGCGGGGTTTCACCAGGTTGGCCAGGCTGGTCTCAAACTCCTGACAAGTGATCCCCCCGCCTCGGCCTCCCAGACTGCTGGGATTACAGGCGTGAGCCACCACGCCCAGCCAATATTAAGTAGATTTCTTATTGGGGACAACCTGCAAAACACTTTTAAAGCTACCCATCTTGCTTGTCTCGGCACCTGGTTCAGAGCCTGGCATACAGTAGGATCTCAATCAGCATTTGTCGCACAAATGACTAAATGAATTTCATTTTTTACCCTTTCACAAAGGTCTCTCACAGAGGCTCTAAGATATCAGCCATGGGCTGTGGGGTTCCCCATTTTTCCTGATAATGACTTTGCCTAGTGACCCCTGTTTTTCTCAGAATAAACCCCACAGGGTGAAGGGAATGAAAGAATGTTTCTCTTTCAGGCATCAGGTGGGGTTCTTGGTCTCCTTCACACAGCCCAGAAAACAAGTGCCCTGAAGGTTCCCTCCTGGGCAAACAGCCCTCTGCCCGCACAGTCCAGCTGCGTTGGCCGCTCCATTCGGGGGTGGGTTTTGGATGCGGAAGGCAGAGGATTCAGCCTGAACACAACGCCCTTTCCCATCCATACAACTGCTGCCAACCGACCCCAGCGTGAGCAGGCCTGTGCTTCTGAAGAGAGCAGCCAACGGAGCCGAGATTGTCATTTGCCACAGCATCTCTTCTGATACTTTAAATAATAGCATAGAAAAGAAGCTTTACCAAATAACTCAGATTCTCTCCTTTCATTAGCTTAATCGCTGGATAGGCAACAGCCTGATGAAAATCTACTCTATAATTAAACTAGTAGTTATTAAAACAGAGGAAGTAAATGGTTTCCATTTTATGAGTACTAAATGAACCAAATGTTAACAGAAATCTATTCTTGCTTTTGCTGGGGGAAAAGTCTCAATAGTAATCATATTTGATGACAGAGGTGAGGCATGGTCCAGCCTGGGGAAACTTTGATTTACACTGGCTTGCATATCCCTGAGGCCCACACCCGTCACCCCGGAGTGCTACCATCTTCCTGGTCCCCTGGACTCACCTGGGTGGGGTGCAGACTGCGAAGGCGATAGTACTTCAGGGGTCCAAAAAACCCTTCAATGCCAGCCACATACCTGCTCCCTCCGATAATGAAGTACCCAGCTGTGTCATTATAATGGAAATCCTCCCGGAAGCTAGAGAAGAGAAGGAAGGATGGAACTAGATGATTTAGAGTCTCTTTCCTCGACCCTCCTTGACTTAACCCAAGTTGCCCCAAGCCCTCCACTCTGAGTTTTAGCAGCCGAGACCAGTGTAGGGCCAGGTGGACTTGGGCTAGGATCCAAATTCTGTTATTTACCAGCTATGAGACCTCAGTCCAGTCACTTAACCTCCTCTCCAGCGCTGCCTGCTCCTGTGTAAGATAAGTTCTTTACTTGTTGGGTGGTTAAGGGGATGAAGGATGAAGATGTCAGGCCTCTAGCAGAGTGCTTGGCCCACAGGGGATACGCCATCTGTGCTGACTATTGGTGGTGGAGGTATTGTTTGGAATCAATGGAATTATCTGGAATTGTTGGTTTTCATGGGAAAGATTGTGCTCTAAAAGAAAAACAACCTTGTTGAATGAATAGAAGGTGGCTGTGGGGAAAAACTAAAGCGCAGACTATTAGATAAGGACTGAGGCAAAATTCAGTCAGGAGGAGGGGCCACCGCAAGGTCAGAGGGTGTGGCCGGAGGAGAGGTCAGCACAGATGATATGTCAGAAGACCACATTATCCTGAAGGGCTTGCAGCATCGGGAAGGAAGAGGAGGACAAAGTGGGTTGGCCTTTGTGACATGCATGAAGGTGTTCCTCACAGTGTTGCTTATAATCGCCAAAGATGGGAGAACCCCAGTGTCCGTCAGCGGGGACTGGCCCATCCATCCAGTGTGCCTTGGACTTGGGCTTTTTCACTATGCAGCTTAAAAAAGGGACAAAGGAACCTGGGGAAATCTCCAACATATAGTGATAAATGAAAATAAATAAACGTACAGGACACAGAGCAGACCTTTTCTCTAAGAAAGAGGAGAACAGATGTTTTTTCATATTTGTGTAAAGAAACGCTGGGTGGAAGTCTATACAAGAAACCAATAGAATTATCTCCCCATGGGGTGGGGGGTTGGGGTGGAGTGCCTGAGGGTAGGGTTGGGAGCAAGACATTTAACTGTCTTTTTACAAAGTTTTGATTTTTTTTTACAATCATGTGCATCTATTACCTATTAAGAATTTAAAATAAGGCTGGGCACGGTGGCTCACACCTATAGTCCCAGCACTTTGAGAGGCCAAGGTGGATGGATCACCTGAGATCAGGAGTTCAAGACCAGACTGGCCAACATGGTGAAACCCCATCTCTACTAAAAATATAAAAATTAACAGGGCATGGTGGCTTACGCCTGTAATCTGAGCCCTTTGGGAGGTTGACGTGGGTGGATCACCTGAGGTCAGGAGTTCAAGATCAGCCTGGCCAACATGGTGAAATCCCATCTCTACTAAAAATATAGAAATTAGCCAGGCATGGTGGTGCATGCCTGTAATCCCAGCTAGTTGGGGTGCTAACGCAAGAGAATCACTGGAACCAGGGAGACGGAGGTTGCAGAAAGCTGAGATCGTGCCACTGCACTCCAGCCTGGGCAACAAGAGCAAGACTCCATCTCAAAATAATAATAATAATTAATAAATAAAATAAAAATAACAAGAATTTAAAATAAGGATGGGAAGACAAGGTGTTATCAGAGCATTTGTGAACAGTGAGGGGGGTGGGGGGTCAAGACAGGCATCAAGTGAGAAGTCAGGCCACGAGATGGAGTGAGGAAGCATGGGGGGGGAGGGGGGGGGCAGATGGAAGGGGAAGGAAAGAAAACCAAGTGTCAGGCAGGCTGCCAGGAGCCCGGGGAGCAGAAGGAGCAAAGGGCCACAGCGATGACGTGGAAGGGGACAGAGCAAGCTACCCACGGTTGGATCAGGGAAACCAGGCAACCCAGGGTTACTCCAGACCAGGAGATGGACTGTGTGTTAGCAAGGAACCCAATCCCTAGCAGGCGCACCTGACCAGGGAGGAAGCATGAGATAGTGAAGCAAGGCGCACAGCCTGATGGCATCAGCTGACAGCAGCAACCGCGAACGCCTAGCGATTAGCCTCATCTAAATGGAATCAAAATGGAAAAGAAGTGCTTCAGCTCCTGAGAGTTTTCTTTTCAGAATCTCAGCCTTGTAGGACTGTGAAGATGATGGTCTCTCCTGCCTATTTAAGGAGAGACCATAAAGTTATTATCTCTGAGAGGTGTGAATTGATTCTGTTTTCCAAGACCTTGAAAAGACATGAACATTCCGACAACCCTCATGAGACAGCACAAGGTACTCGATGGATACTAAGCAACGCTTCTAGTAGGAAGCTCTCAACAGATCTGCAACTGAACCGACTCCCCAGTTTATCTAACTGTCTTCATGCCTCTGCAAAACCAACTGACTGATGCCTACAGCGTCCCGGATGCTCACTGCCTCACTGCCTGGAGCTTACTGTTTGCAGCCTTAGTCTCCCCATTTAAAAAATGGAAATAGTGGCCGGGTGCAGTGTCTCATGCCTGTAATCCCAGCACTTTGGAAGGCTGAGGCAGGCGGATCGCCTGAGGTCAGGAGTTCAAGACCAGCTTGGCGAACATGGTGAAACCCCGTCTCTACTAAAAATATAAAAATTAGCCAGGCACGGTGGCATGTGCCTGTAATCCCAGCTACTCAGAAGGCTGAGGCAGGAGAATCACTTGAACCAGGGTGGTGGAGGTTGCAGTGAGCCGAGATTGCAAACTTGCACCCCAGCCTGGGCGACAGAGCAAGACTCCGTCAAAAAACAAAAAAAAGGAAATAGCGCTAGTACCTGCCTGTATGATTGTTGTGAGGATTAAATAAACTAATATGTAAACAAAGCATTTAAAACAGTGTCAGGCACATAGCAGGCACCATAACCGATAGCAACACTGATTATTATTCTTAGCCTAGTCCTCTGTTGGACCTTGACTCCCATATTTCCAGTTGCACGCTTAGTAAGGATAAGATGTGTGTACTCTTAAAACTCTTAATGTTGGCCTGGCACAGTGGCTCATGCCTGTAATCATAGCACTTTGGAAGGCCGAGGCGGGAGGACCTCTTGAGCCCAAACCAGTAAATGCCAATAGTATGTTTATTGTAATCCTATCGTTTACTTAAATATGTAATCCAGTAAAACATGAGTGGGGAAGAAAGAGCTGTTCTTTCTATAAAAACTAAGTTGATTATTTTGAGTCTACCCAAAATAATCAACTGGTTTTCACAGAAAGAATAAAATGTTGTGAAAAAAAATTGGGAAAAATCTAGATGGCTTTTGGGCTCTGATTATTTCTACAAGTGTCTTTGTTTTCTTTTCAATTGGAAGAAACAGAAATTGGGTGTTGTTTACAAGTGAGAAAAAAGACCACAGAGAACTTCAGTCTGTAGATTTGTACTCAAAAGAAGGCACTATCTAGACAGACTGGTAAATGTGAATTTATATGTATATATGTGTATGTATATATATATATACACACATATATATACACATGCACACATATATACACACACATATAATACACACACACACATATATATATACACACGCATATATATACAGACACACACACATATATACAGACACACACATACACACACACACACACACACACACACACATATATTTTTAAATGAAGTCTTGCTTGGTCGCCTAGGCTGCAGTGCAATAGTGCAATCTCAGCTCACTGCAACCTCCGCCTCCCGGGTTCAAGTGATTCTCCTGCCTCAGCCTCCGACTAGCTGAGACTACAAGGCATGTGCCATCACACCCAGCTAATTTTTGTATTTTTAGTAAAGATGGGGTTTCACCTTGTTAGCCAGTATGGTCTCAAACACCTGACCTCAGGTGCTTCACCCAAAGTGCTGGGATTACAGGTGTGAGCCATCATGCCCTGTCATATATATGTTTTAATTGAAATAAAAATCTTTAATGGAGTTATCTTTTATTAATGGATCCTTGCATTAACTGAGTTTTTCAACAAATAACAAATTACTTGGTCCCTAGGTCACTGAACTGTAATTTTTAAATTGTCATTATTGTCAAGCAATAGGGTATCTGTCCAGCTTGGTCTCCATCGACATTGATGTCTTCACATTTTTTTCCTGCAAAATTCTGTGTCTGAACAAGATTGCAAGAGATTCTTTGTACTGCGCACTGTCTGATGGTCATCAATTTTACTGACATAAAAGCTGAGCTAGACTCTTCCAAAGCCCAAGCCAGCCCCCTTCGAAACCACGGGATATGCTGGCAAACCCATCTTTACTCTTGTCTGGACATAGGAGAGTGCCCTGGTTTATTACCGCAGAGCGCCAATAACCTGAAAGCATCACTGACGTTGCGAAACAGGCCTTGCTTAGAGTTAGGAAATAGCTCCAGCTTGAAGTTTCCTTGGTAGGAGAACTTAGAGCTTCAAATTAGCTGCCCCCATGCCCCATAGAGTAACCATCATCTTACATGTCACTTCTTCAGGGCCTGGTCTAAATTTTGGCCCCCTTGTTCTCCCCAAGCTACCCTATCGGTTTCCTTCCTGGCACTCACCAAAATTTGTAAATTCAAATTTATTTGTGAATTTGGGTTTTTTGTTTTGTTTTGTTTTGTTTTTTTTGAGACAGAGTTTCGCTCTTGTTACCCAGGCTGGAGTGCAATGGCGCGATCTCGGCTCACCGCAACCTCCACCTCCTGGGTTCAGGCAATTCTCCTGCCTCAGCCTCCTGAGTAGCTGGGATTACAGGCACGCGCCACCATGCCCAGCTAATTTTTTGTAGTTTTAGTAGAGACGGGGTTTCACCGTGTTGACCAGGATGGTCTCGATCTCTTGACCTCATGATCCACCCGCCTCGGCCTCCCAAAGTGCTGGGATTACAGGCGTGAGCCACCGCGCCCGGCCCTTTTTTTTTTTTTTTTTT